CATTGTGGGGACATAAATCTGTTCAAACCCTCTGTGGGGACTCTGACCTCGAGTCCCCACAGAGTGAATCTTTTATGATGAAGAGAGGTTTGGAGGTTTGGAGGTTTGGAGGTTTGGAGGTTTCATGGACTGAAGCCACTTCTCCGACATCTCGTCCACTATGATTGTGAGACGAATCCACAGATCAGAAGCGCGATGCTGTGATGCTTTCTCACAGATGATGTCACCAACACGAGCCTGTTGTCCAGATGTGGACACGCTGATGTTACATCTCTGTTGTAAATCAATGTGTAAAATGTTGACTCTGATCATAAATCTGACAGCGTGTGATTAATAGTTTAGACACCTTATTTTTATCATTTGTGTCTTATAATCCATATTATCTGATAACTTTGATTTCATAAACAATCAGCTGCACAGAGGGTCAGTAACACCGCCCAGCTGCCCTGTGACATCGCCACATCCTCCTGTCTCAGGTAAACCATCACAGGTGACCCCTCGGACCCCGCCCACCAATCAGAGCCCCGCCCTCATCACTCAGTCCTTCCAAGCACTTTGTTCTTTACTCTGTCACAGTCAGTGTGGAGCACCTGTACAGTACTGTACCTGTACAGTGACAATAAAGGCCTATTCTATTCTATTCTATTCTATTCTATTCACTTCACACACTCACTGAAGCCCACATAAAGGATAAAACAGGTGTTGTGCTGCCCCCTGCTGGAGAAATTCTATATTTCTGTGTTGTACATTCTTGCAGCTGCTTCTTACATTTAGAGTGTAAATATGATTTTTCACTGTGTAAAAGTACGACTGACTTTACTCTGCTGGTTTTAGTCTTGGCAGCACGGTGGTCAGCACTCTCACAGCAAGAAGGTCCAGAGTCCAGCTCCACCATCAGGTCTTTCTGTGTGGAGTTTGCATGTTCTCCCCATGTTTGCGTGGGTTCTCTCTGGTACTCTGGCTCCTCCCACCGTCCACAGACATGCAGCTGGTGGGGACAGGTTCACTGATCAATCTAAATTGCCCATAGGTGTGCATGGTTGTCTGTCTCTGTGTGTCGGCCCTGCGACACACTGGCGACCTGTCCAGGGTGGACCCGCCTGGATGGTTTCAGTCTTTATGTTGTTTTGTCACTGTTTTAAATATGAAATGTTTGCGCTCCAGAGCAGCGGCCTCTCCAGACTTATTCATGCAGCTGTGGCTTCATGTTTCCAGAGAAATATGCAGAAAAACTGATAAAATATTATTAAAAAATGTAATGATAAACAATTTGTGTTCTGGAGC